ACTCAATCCCCTACCACGTGGAGCCCTGGGACCTTAGTCACCAGCAGAAACACAGTACTACCAAAAGGTAGTGTTTTTTTACTGTGGTCCTCTTTATGGTTACTACCACAGGCGGACGCTCCAATTCGAGCGACAAATCCGCTTTGCCCTACTTCTTAAAACTGAAACAATTGGTAGTCTTGGTGGTTGTACAGTCATATGTAAAATATGCACTTTCGATTTGATATAATGTATGTATTTTTATTTCAAAGAGAGTAATTGATTGATCCTTCGTGCTGCGGAAGGCACGTAAAGTTGGTCAGGGCTGATCTGCAGCACTGCCAATCCGCACTGGGCCCGTGTGGTCATGGCCCAATCTCCCTATTCCATCCATAGCGAAGGCCTGTGCTTCAACAGTGGGGACATTAAAGGATGATGATGATGACGATGATGATGATTTGATTTCTGACAAAGTAAAGTATGATTGGATCTTCGTTTTACTGTGATTTTGATAATAGATTTAATACTTTGCTTAGTTTTCAGTGTTTATCTACATAAAGTTTTCTGATAGTTAATTAATCAAAATTATAATGACGAAATGCTAATCTACCTGCAGAGGATACATTTGTTTACAAAATATTTTAATTGTCTTTATCCTCAAGTACTAGAATTGATATACGTCATACCTACTCATAATTTTGTTAAAAAATCGTCATACCTAACGAGAAAGTTTACCTGCTTTGATTAAATCACTTACAATTTCTGAGACATCTCAGTGAAGTCATACAATTACAGTATAAAATAATGACGAAAAATCTTTTGATTATCAGCAGGTACTTCCATACTTACTGCGAAAATACAAGTCATAGTTTATGTCATTCAACTTGAAGTGCGTTGTTGTACTTACTTGGGTTTTACAAGTGCGCAAGCCACCGTTTGTTCTATGGAAATGTCATGTCAATAGTTCAAGGGATCATCGTGTTCTTCTAGTGAGTCATCAGCGAATATGCTTCGATGAGATTTCTTTAAAATTTGTGGTTTGTCCGTGATTCATGCAAAGATCCTAGTGAGTATGATTTTAACCTACATATCTTTGGTAGAAATAAAAACCGGCCAAGTGCGAAGCGGACTCACGCACGAAAGGTGCCGCACCATTATGTATACAACGAAAAACACAATATGTATATATCGAGCATATTATAATATCGAGTAAGAACTGGCCCCCTTAAAATATTTATTTTATTTTCTTTAAACTTCTTATGAGTTTTCCTGTAATCTACAAGTAAAGAGCTACTCTCCATTTTTTTTCTAATTTTAGACGTAATATTTTCGGAGATAAGATTTAGGGGGGAAAGGGTAATTTTTATCTATTTTCTTAAATAATTTTGAACTACTTATTTTAAATGTTTGAAACCTTCGCATTAAACCCTTTCATTTGATATCTAACATGATACAGTTAGCTAAATTTCGTTTCTTATTAGGTGATTTTTTTTTAAATGTGATGAGAATATATATTTTCTTCGTGTTTCTAATCTCGTAAGGTGTCTTAATGTTAGTTTGGCAGGCAGTCCATTTTAATATAGGTGCTGAGTTAAACATTTATTTGTATGATTGTCTTCATACACAGACAGAAAAAATATGTTACAATTTTCGAACAGAATTATTTGGTGTCCACCGCACTATGTTAAAAAATTATAGCGATAAATTATGGTTCAATCGTTTTTGTGTATTTGTTTGAGGAGTTCCATCGGGTAGAAAAAACACAGTTGTATAGTCAAACAGCGGATTTTTCGGTCGAATAGGAGCGCCCGTCTGGGAAAGTAACCAACACCTTACAGAAGATCACAGTTAGGGTTACTATTTAGAAATTTCAAAAGTCCTGACAAAAATCCTGAGCTTTCGAAAAAAGTCCGGATAATAAGTGAGTTATTTACAATGGTATGGTATTTAAATCAATATGTACTTTTATTATTCATATTCAATGTAATCTTAAAAGTCCGGTCAATTTAAAGATCCGGATAAAGTCCGAACTATAGTCTAAAAGTCCGGACATGTCCGGGCTAATCCGGACGGATGGTAAGGGTTACCATCCTTCATCATTATTCTTCTTCTTCATCAATCACAGTCAAATAACAACCATTTGGGGGTGTTGTGTTTCTGTCGGTGATTTAGGTTCAAGGGGCTCCACGGGGTAGGGGATTGGATCAGGGTAGGCAACAGTGCGAGTGACATTTTTCAGCGTCTATAGGCTATGGTGGCCGCTTACTATAAGAAGGATCATACGCTTCTTTGCTATCCTTTTATCATAAAAAAGTAGATTCATACTGTGAAAACTAAATGTTAATATATTATAGTGATAGGTATATTTTGAACTGTCGACTTCTTTGGATGTTGTTCTTGGATAAGGATAAGTATTTTTTAATAGGCAGTCAATTGTTGCCTGCCTTTAAATGTTTGTATTTCGTTGCTAAGTCATGACATATTCACGACGCAACGTCTCCGTGACACAGCGTCAACGGACGCGACGGCTGCCGTTCTCTACACAACTTTACTCCCGTCAGCAACGTTTTATATCTGATTTCGGCACTAAAACTCTTTAATGTTCACGTAAACTGGAGTCTCGTGAGATGCTTATCTCCCGACTTACGCTGCAATCCTGGTACCTTAAACGGAGTTTAGTATTAATATGAAAAAGATGGTAAGAGATTGCCGTTTTTTCGCGAATCTCTCATTTTGGTTGTTCATAGTCGTGATGGACAGATGGAAAAGCAAAGATAAATAAATGTGTACATCACATTTGTCGCTCTGATTCTGAGGTAGGTAAGTAGTTGAATAAAAAATACGAAGCAAGTTCTTATTTAAGATGGTTAAATTTATGTATTTTGTGTTATTTTATTGTTCTTTTCGATATTATTGTCATTGTAACACATAACAAAGTTTACCGATTCCTAACTTTTGAGTTGTTTCAAAAATATTTTTGAATTCTTGATTGCATTGCCTGTTTTTGGAAAATCGTATCGATCGGGTCGATCAATCCTAACTTACAAACGAGCTTAACCTAAAGCTTTCATTAATAAGTATAAATAGACTCATCGCGCCTAACATTTCATAAACGAACTTATAAAACAACATACAGATATATTACAGCCAAGTAATTCAATTAACCAATAACTAGTATCAACAAGATTTATAGGAAACATAATATCCTGCGCAACCGCGTCCAGGCTACTCGAACAACTGTTGGTGACAAGAGATATATGAGTTTTGCTTCATGTAGCTCTCAAAGTCTCAATAGATGTATTTCAACTTACGAAGTTTGCATAGACATTTTCATAAACTACGCTATTATTCTTCAGAAGATACACCGAATGATTTCATTAGAATATTAATATGATGATACTTTAATACCATACTCGTAGTAAGGAAATAACGATTTTTTGAAGTTCTTTAAAAACGATTCATTATAATATTGATTTTGTTTAATATGTAGATACATTATTAAAAAATTGAGTAGAGTCGATCTTTAAAAAGCCGAAAATGTGTGACATACCGCAAAAGCTCTAATTACGCGGAACTATGTAATCTAGAAAGTACAACTCAGCGCCCCGCGGTCACGGTAATAACAGAAGCCGAAAATCATCACCAATTTACAGACAGGAGTACCGGTGCCGAAATAAGTGGAGGTCATGTGTGTGTCGTGAGTGAAACCCACGGTAGCGCCGCGAGCCACCGGCCGCTTTCCCACACACCGGTAAACTGTTTGAAGAAAGTATGTAATCAGTACATTTTATCATTTACAATTGCGACAAAAATCGAGTCATAAAAACTGTTCAAAATTTGTAAACCAATGTTTTTTGACGTAAATAATATTAATAAGGAGAATAAATCGATTGAATACTTTTTTCTACAAGAAAATTCGAAATGAGAAAAGTTATTGCTTAAATAGCCAATGCCAGAACAGCGCGTAGAGTCTTTAACGCGCCTCTAGAACGGTGTCGTCCGTGGGTTGTCCGTATGAATGTCGCATAAAATCCGCCTACTATTTCCCAGCAGCTTACCGCGTCGCTACCTGTTCGCCTCATCGAGCACGTGGTGGGGCCGAGGCTTCCGCGTAACGTTATCAGTAGTAGCGCACCCTCTCGCGCGCAGTTGCCAAACGCACCCGCGCTCAGTCGCACGTCTACCATTCTCGTTGACACATCCAGCCGCTTTACATCCACGCTATTAGCCAGTGACTTTAGATCTTACTCCTCTAGTTTTACGAACGCTTTTCGTTTTCTATCTACTTAGTAAATGAGATAAAGGTTAATGTTTGATATAGTGAAAGTGTATGCATACGTATTGCTGGTAAAGCAATAAAGACTTTGCCGTAATCTCTACATCGAAGGTGCGTATTTAACACTCAATTCTGTTTATTACAATTTCAACTATTCATAGCTTAATTAATGATCGTTTTTGTAAGGGATAAGTACTGTTTCATGATTGGTCTTTTAGTTGAATCTTATAACTTGTTTCCTTTCATAAAAGTTATTTAGACAAATGAATTTAGAATAATTTTACCAAATGTTTGAGTGGATTAGGTAGGATATACTTAAGTGATTCGATGTGTGCAATAGATGATTTGATGATTTTTATTAATGTTTTTTTCTGATCAAAATAATATTTTCTTTTAATATTGACCATACTTTAAAAAATATATTATTCGCGGAATATCACTTTGTCTAATCGAAATTTTAAATCATTAAAGAAATCAACGCTACAAATAAAAGTCACAAATGCAACAACAGAATAGTCAACACAATTATCATTGACAGTCATTTGTTTTATGGCATCTATCTAATCGCGTTATTATGTTTACAAATTATAAAAAACAATTGACACTCGAAGCGTCTTCAAAAAGGTAGACAATAACACCAAACAAACGGTATCAACCTACATTCTTATCGCGAACGTAACCAACAGGCGACCTTACAGCTCCGTAAGAAAGTCGCGACTCGCTCTGATAAGCTATCACTCTACAGGCCAAGCCCCGCCCGCAAAGCATCACATCATAGACCAGACAAAATGTTCGCTGTGATGCAGATCGACGAAGATCACACGCGGGATTTCAGACGCAAGCTGCGTCCGAAATGCGAGTTCGTGTGCAAATACTGCCAGCGGCGCTTCACCAAGTCTTACAACCTGATGATACATGAGCGGACCCACAAAAGCCCGGAGCTCTCCTTCAGCTGCGAGGTGTGTGGGAAGAGCTTTAAGAGGCAGGACAACTTGCGCCAGCACAGGTGAGTGCCCGTTTTCTTTTGTTTTTCTCATTATTAACCATTAATAATGTTTGAAAAAACAAGTAGGTTTAAAAAAAAGTTTGGCGGATGTTTCAAAGAATTTTATCACAATAATAGTCAAAACTTTTTGGATGTTTCTCTATTTCAAAATTGGAAGATATAAAAGTTTGTCCACAAGTAAAAAAGTTTTTAAACAGAATACTGGAGAATCACAACCTTTATGGTTATTAGTTATTAGCTCAAACATTTGAACCCGTCAACCTACGGCAACTTTCTCGATTGTATCTTGTACCCTACCTACTTACTAAATAAGATACGGTTATTTTCCAACCTTATTATTTCGTCTCCTGAAGTAGCAACCTTGGCCAAAGCTGCCTGGATACCGTTTGCCTCACCACAAGAGTTAGTCAGGTGACAAGGCAAGGCTGCGGCGGGCATGTCAAATGCCATTAAGGTCTGGTCTGTCACACGACGCTGGATAGATCGCAGTTATTCGCTACTTCAGTTACAGACTTCGTGGTTTGCGCTAAAAGTAATTTTGGCATTTCGGCGTAGTTTAGTTATATTTTTTGATAAGAAATAGTTTTGTCGACATAAAAACCGATTGAAAAAGTATTCCAATTTTTAAATAATACCTACAGTTTTTTAAAAAGGTGCTCCCACGAAGTAAGCAACTATTTGCTAGTAATTAGACTGTGATCATAGTTTCGCTGTGGTCATACAAACCATTTTGTCCAAATTGGCTATAATATGACAGGTGCATTAATCTGTCCCACCAGACATTTCTCAGGATGACATTTCAATTGTCAACATGATTAGCATACAATGGCTCAGTAGCACTCTAATGATATTGTCATCTTATAAATCTCAAAACAAGTAGAAAATATCGAAATTATAATACATGAGTTATTGTTATTTTATCGTCATCTCTGGATGTGGGATTTAAGTAAAGAAAGATTTAAGTAAGACCTAAGTTTGAACTAATTTTGATTCTTTTTTAATTCTTGGCCAAGAAGAAATGAGACCAAAAAATCTAAAAAATCTTAGCTTAATTTTACATATTAATAAATAAAGTACCATTTCTATACTAGTATATCAACGAATGAAGTTTAAGAGTTGTCTACACTATATCACTCATGTTCAATAGTTATTGAGTCATAGTTAATCTTCTGGCGCAACTTGGTTACGCTATAGTTAATGCCGACTGATTTCGCACAAGATTGAATGCAACCTCGTTGATGACCTTTTGGGATCTCGACCTATTAATGTCAGTAGGTTTTCGTCGCCGAGCATCCACAAAGATACTTAAGTCACAGCCGGATTCTAGAATTCGCTATTTTACACTCCTCCTACTTGTATAAGACCTAGCCGTTTTCTACCTTTCTACAAGATGGATTAAATTATATACCTAAATGCCCATAGTATTGTACAGGCGTTTTAATTGTAATCGTACATTTTTTTATGATTAAACAGTAGGACACAGCATTCTTAAACTTTGTTAAATCAGTTTTCTTTATTGTATTGTCATAATTTTTATGTCATTTATATTTGTAATCGAAAGTGACTTCATGAGCTATCTCATATTGTATTTATTTTTCAATTTGACGACTCTGTATATCATACAGGAAGAAAAAAACTGTTTTGGTGCTAATTTTCAAAACTAAAACTTAAAATCAAAAATAGCGACAAATACTTTTTTTATATTATTTTATAGTACCTCCATAAACCATCGCTTACACTTACGTGCATTAAAAGTTACATACAAAGTATCTTTTACATTTTATAATTTATTCGATTGACAATTCCAAATTGTATTATCTTTTGTTAATGATGTCAGGTTACTCTACAATGTGAATTTAGTACAATACCGCTAAACATATATAGTACAGTACGGCTAATCGCTGGCCAGTCCTACTAGAACAAGAACCCGAAAAGTAAAACGTCGAATTCTGCTATTCTTCTGCGACATACAGGTACTTAGCCTCAACTATAACTATCCTCTTGCACTGCTATGGAACATCATAATGCGCGATAAAATAAGAATGATTAAAAATAAGTAGTCTTAATTACAATGCAGTCAAGTAAGGAACTTAATGTTAAAAATAAATTAAACGGATTATAAAGCATAAGCCGCTTATAATTTAAGTTTTGTTCTTACAACTGTCGATCGTAGAGCGTGCTGGTTCTTTTTTATGCATATTGCTAAGGAGTGGGCAGAATGTTCATTATTCCATTTGTAGATAAAAATAATTAATTAACTCAGGTATTCATACACACCAAGTTTACTTACGCATTGCGATGTTATTATTTGTCTCGTAAAATGAACTTAATTAATCTTCGCCAAAATTATATAAAAGAAATAAAATCAACTTGAGGCGCAAACATTATTAGCTTTTAAATATCATTTAAGAATTGCCGCAAGTGGGCTTTACGTTTCATTGTCAATCGTGTATAAAGGTTCCAGACGGTCATGCCACAAAAAAGTCAGACTTTGTTTTTAACTATGTCTAAGCAAATTTTGTATAACATTTTCCTTAGATTTACAAATCTAATGCAGTGTTTCTCCTTAAACTCACGTTGAAAGTCTAACTTGTTTCGGTAATACAAACAGGTAGATTTTGTTTGCATTCGTCCGAGAAAAATGCACTTACTTAATGTGCACCACAACAATGGGGTCCGTGTGAATCTCGGCGCATCCGCGTCGGCTACCGAGATAGTGGATGTTGCGCTCACGTCACGCGTGGTCGTGCACTCGTGACGCGGTTGTGTGTTAACGGTGCTTAATGGGCCCTAATGCTCCCGAAACTGTGCGAACGCCGACGGTAGCAGCCGATGGTTGAACGAAACACGTGAACGCCCTACACATTCGCTAGGGGTGCGAAAAGTTCACCAAACGAAGTGCAAAATGGAAGCGTTCGAGAACTTTTCAAAATGAGAAAGATCGTTTTGATGACATTTCGAAAAGTTTCGCGCGTTGACATATTCGCAAAGGCTGTGCGAAGCAGCGAGAAGTTCGCTCAACTCGAAGCTTGCTAGCTCGCTTTCAAGAACTTTTAAATTATCAAAAATTACAATTTTGATGCAAAATTTAAGAGATAGGCTTGTTGATTCGGATTGAAATCGATATTCAATATTCGAGAACTTTGCAAATTATGAAACTAGGGTTTGATGCAAGTGCGAAAATTTCGTGTTGATAGCAACTGAAAGAGCGGGTTAATAATGTTATTTTGAAAATGAAAGAAAAGAGATCAAAGATGTGTATTTTAAAGATTTTTATTTTCGCAAACATAATTAACCTAACCCGAGAAGGTAAAAAGTAAAAAAATAACTACTAAATTTTAGAACAAATAAGAGTAGGTACGCATTCAATAATATTGTGAAAAATATTAAGCATGAAAACATGAGCAGGTTAGGTTTTCCGCGCAAAAAGTAAAACTCACTAAAATTTAGTGATGAGGTAAGGTGGTTTTGGAGTTGTCATCTTACTTCTCTTACAAAATCTATGTTAAACGTGACGCCTTTAAGATGTGTTTGGTTATAAGATAATTAGGTACGTAATCATATTTATAACTCACATTTTTATTACAGTTATTTCGAATATTATGAATTTATTCATTCTGTACTGATTTCGCCATTAACCAAAACCAGTCATCGGATAAAGCGAGACTCACGTTCGAAGTTGTGTAGTATTAAAAATTACAAACCTAAGATTATAGCAATATTTTAGCTCCAATTGCAATTTCACATCCTTGAACAGTCGATGGCCCAATAAGGTACTGGTGTTGTTCACCGATCCGAACCGCGGGATATGATTAGGGCAATTTGTCGGGCCCATGTATGATGCTTCCTATTCGGGTGTACCGATTTCAGAACGGTACGCGCATTTACGATATTGCGTTTAGAAATGATGATAGGAGCGCCAGTGTTGAACGCGAACGATTTACAAGAACTGATAGGAACTTTTTTCGAAAATAGAATGCGATATTTTCAGATATGTTAAAACATTAAAAGTACCGCTAGATGTTGACTGAAGTGCTAGATGGACACACGAGATTGTTTCGCGGTCTCGATATGTTCCTTACTCGATAGCAAAGATTGCGCGATTGGCCTTAACGAGAAGACGAGCACATGTTTATGGTGAAATGTAAAAAACGAGATTGCGTGTGAAAAAATCGTCCGCAAACCACGATTCCCGACGGCAGTATGCTACTGTAACAGTACTTACGTTACATCACGAAGTTTTTGATGGGGCACTTGTTAATATTGCATATTTTGCGATCGTTTTTTGTTCCTGGAATGCAAGAAGTTTAGATTGTCTGTAATTTTCAATTTATTGCTCTTTTTAATGATTGAAAGCGATCATGTTTTGTTGTTGTTTCACTCGATCCGATTTAATGAAAGGTACATACTTTGTTAATTTGAGGTTTGCCTGACAGAAACTGTATGTTAGCTTTTCTTTTGCAATTAATTAATAAATATCCCAAATTGTCTCGTAAAATAATTGTCTCATCTATTTGAGATTAATTAAAATCATCATTCATTCATCCGGATTAGGTTCTAATCTTTGGGATGGGTCCCAAAGATTAGTTTTTTTGCGATGTAAGTTTACAAATTTGCCCGCATCTGTTTATACTTACTTAAGAGATAAACAGCTTCATTAGTTTGTTCTTCAAACTCTTTTTGGTACGCACAATGTATAGTTATATAATTTCGAATTTAAAACTCTTGGTCAAATTGTGAATGACTTACATGATGTTCGTATTAAGATCTTCCCGTAGGTAATAATGAAATAATTGATTTTGTGCAGTGACAAAAAGTAATAATATGTAATAAGTAAGTACTATTTGTTATAGAAAAGTCCAATATCGTCTATGCTTTATTCATATCTATATTTGCAAATTCAGCGCTCATTATATCACTTAAACAATCATCCAATAAAATTTATATCAGAACTATAAATATGATTTAATGTAAATCACGTAATCCTAACACCAAAACAATAGAAGTTCTGACTCACATAACATCTGCGCGAACTGTATCTTCAGATACAGTTCATTTAATTAAATTGCCTTTAGTCTAGTCAGATGTCCCATTTAGTTAGCAGTGTGGGTCATTGGCTCACGCGCCGTATTTTCTCCTTTAGCCTTATCGATCCAGCATCCCGCGGATTCACGACTTGAGCCAAGTTGACATATTATCGATTGGAAGATCACCGATTAAATTGCAATGACGTGAGCATTACACTGAATAGAGGTCCCCTTTAGGATACGCTGTAAAGGTCATTTACTACGAACAACCTAAGAATTACAAAAAAGAAGATAGGTGTAGGATCTCCTTGGCAATTTATACTTTTTTTATCTTTTTATTTTTTATTCCTTATTCAAATTATACTTTTTACTTATTTAATAAATATCAATATCTTTTACACTAGGTAGGTATAAACTTTCCATTTAATAGAAAGAAAAGAACTCATATGATTAAATTTAAAAACAAAACCTTAATAGATTGTAAAACGGAATCAGTTCAGTTATCTCTAGACATTTACGAAACAACGCTGGAAGTTACCAGATCGTTGTAAGCCAAGTTTACCATAATGGTTTCGTTGCAATCCGTTAAGATATCGCACTGCAAGCGTCGGCCTACACTATTGTTAGCGAAGGTGCCGCTGGTTAATTAGGTTCCCCCAGGAAATCTTATACAGCATGATTCACTTTTTGCTTCCATAAGTATTTTAACCGACTTTGGAATTTCATGAAGGAGTTTCTTTTGTTGATAATAGAATCAAATTGAAAAGCTAATGTGTCATCAAATTCTAAATAAATAAAGAATATAATTGTTTTTTTTTCATAATGACAAAACAGAATACAATCAAATTGAAATATCTTGAATTATTCGTGATACCGATCGACTGAAGGTATTTTCTGGTATCGTATTAAATAAGTTGATAAGTAATTTGTTTTTTTTTGTAGATAAACTGTATGTTGCGTTTTAAATTCGTGACTACGTTTGATGGGTAATACCAATGAGGTGAAGAATATGACGTGACTCAATGATAGGTGTTGGCCTCATAAAAGTATTACGTATGAAACGAACATGCAAAACATTTTAACAGTTCTATTAACTTTTTTTTCTAGTTTTATTCAATGTCAATTTAATAGATAATTCTAACTCAAATTAGCACATATATATTTTTCTTTTTTTTCACATCCTGTATTTAGAAGCAAAGCGCCTTTTCCCACAGTCGCACATACAGGGTGTGCGCTCACGAACTAACCTACTCAGATATCGCGCGGAAGTGAAATGAATGCAGCCCTGTCACCTACGCCCTTTACACTATCGGAATCTAAGTCGGATTCAGTATAGAAATTTGTTTGATTTCAGAGGGTATAATTGTATAAACTATGATAATCTGGTTCTATGAAGTTGGTGACTTTAAGACAACTCTATTACGGTTTTTACTATTGGCGATATTTGCATTTCAGTTGTGTTCTTTATATATCACCATTTGTTAATGGTTCTATATAGTAATTAGATTAGATTAGGATAGGGACATTAAATTTTTTTATCAATTTGTAAGAGAAGTCGTGGTAGAAGTTTCATTAATCTTTTTATTACAGATGTTACTTTTGAAATAACTGTTAGATGCGTTTTTTCTTAACAACTTTTTAGTGCGCACTGTTGAATATTTTTTTCGAAGTCGGCGTTGTCGTCGTACAATGTATTTTAAGTCCTTCATTATGGGATTTAGCGAACATCAAAAGAGTGTGGTCAGATATTAATCGTGGCGCTTTTCCGAAGAAGCGTTCGGTCACAGTTAACACGCTTTGTGAGGAAGATGTTGGCCGTCCGGTGGACGTTAATCCTACATTTCTTT